GTTGAATCAGAGAAACGGCAGGGGCTCAGCAATCTCGCACCCTCGCGATCAAGACTATTCAAGCTTATAGGTAAGGCAAGGTAAAAATATGAGTGGAGCTGCAGCAAGCGACTAGCAAGTATGGTGGCTAACTTATTCGCAAAAGAGAGCGAGAAGAGGAGGCAAAACACGAGCGAGAAACTAGAGAACAACCTGCGCAATCATTACTCCAAGACCGTGTCCACTTCCCGGACTCCGCCGAGAAGAGGCCATCACGGCAACACACTCGGTTGATTCATTTTAATTAATTAAGGTTCAAGTTATCTACAACCGGACATTAAGAAATTCCCATCTGTCCATAACCACGGGCACGGCTTTCGAAAGTTCAATCCCTGCAGGGGAGTCCCAACTTAGCCCATGATAAGCTCTCACGGTCAACAAAGGAATAGACGTCCTCCCAAGACGTTCTGATCAGACTCGGTATCTCGGTAACTCAAGACAATTCGACAGGTTAAAACAAGACCAGCAACACCGCCCGAATGTGCCGACAAATCCCGATAGGAGCTGCACATATCTCGTTCTCAGGGCACACTCAGATGAGACTAGCTACGAGTAAAACTAACCCTCAAGTTTCCCCGAGGTGGCCCCGCAGGCAGCTCAGTTCGGACCAACACTCAGAGGGAGCACTGGCAAGGGGGGGTTAAAATAAGATGACCCTTGGGCTCCGGTAACCCAAGGGAAAAAGAGGCTAGGTGGCGAATGGTAAAACCAAGGTTGGGCATTGCTGGAAAAGCTTTAATCAAGGCGAACTATCAAGGGGTTCCCATTATAACCCAACCGCGTAAGGAACGCAAAATCCGGAAACATAACACCGATATGACGAAAACTAGGGCGGCAAGAGTGGAACAAAACACTAGGCGAGAGGCCGAGCCTTCCACCCTTTACCAAGTATATAGATGCATTAAGATAGCAAGATAATATAAGGATATCCCAACAAGTAAATAAAAGATGTTCCAACAAGGAACGGCCTCCGATCTTCACCTGCAACTAGCAACGCTATAAGAGGGGCTGAGCAAAGCGGTAACATAGCCAATCAACGGTTTGCTAGGACAATGGTGGGTTAGAGGTTTGACATGGCAATTTGGAAGGCTGACAAGCAAAAGGTAGGCATCGTAGCATTGGCATAGCAAAAGAGCGAGCAAAACTAGCATAGCAAAGATAGTAGTGATTTCGAGGATATGATCATCTTGCCTGCACAGTTGTCAGAGGTGACTGGATTCTCAAGAGCAAACTCAACGGGCTCCTCGTTAGCGAACTCGTCTCCCGGCTCTACCCAAACAAGACAAACAAGCAACAAGGATACAATCAACCACGTGCAAACTCAAACAACACGATGCAAAGATGATATGCTATGCGGGATGCGATGCGGGATGCAAAATGCAAGATATGACAGGAAATGCATGAACCTGGCCTCAACTTGGAATTCCAAGGGTGCCATTGGAAATATGAGATGAAATCGCTTGAAAACGATATAAAGAACGCCGGAATCGGAGTTACGGTTTGGAAATGGCAAGCGTTTCAAAAATGACACCGGTCTGCAATTTACAGCAAGTAGGCATCTAAATGCAACGAGATGATCATGCTACAGCCACCAAACATGACAACAAAATACATGGCAGGGATGCACACAAGATGGTTAACAAAAGACTAGCACTGAGCCACGGCCAATTCATCCATTAAGAGGTTCAAACAAGCATAGCAAAAACGCAAATACAAAACAGATTCCAGACTTAGTGAAATTAACACTTGTCTGAAATTTCAGATCGTGAAGCCCTCTTCGGAGCAGCAAAACAACATGATACATGACCTGATTAAGACAAGGAAGAACATGGCATGGAGCTACTCAACAAGCTTAACAGAAGATCCAAAGTGACCTGGGGCCAAAAGGGTTCACAAAATATACTAACGGGCACACGAACATAGCTAGAACACAATCAGTTTTCAGACTTAGTGAAAACTGAGACATGCTGAAATATAACTCACGAAGGCATGTAAACAAGCTCGATGCACTCACTACGGTGCAAGTAATGGCAAGGCAAGCATACATCCATTAAGAAGGCACAAGATGCTATCTAGACATGACAAGAACAATGGCATAGCATGCACGGATCAACCACAACAACGCCGGCAAAATCGCAAACGAGTTGACGATCTGCCCAGATTCACCATGAAGCAAAAGTAGAGCTCGATTGACTCAAGTAAGGGTGCTCCATAATTGCAAGTAAAAACATGGATGGATAAAGCATAACACGATTAACAAAACTTCTTTACTGATCATCCCCAAAAGAGGCACGGATCACTAGAAAACAAGCTGAACATATGGCATCATGAACTAAATAATCCCAGACTTATTGAAAACTACTAAGTCCCTGAAAACAGATTTACCGGGTGCCTCACTTTGCAAGCTTGCACAAGTCACCACACACATCCTAAAAATGCATGGGTTGCACCTCTGGAAAGATAACAAGATGCTTAACAAAACATATGAAGGACTCATAGGCATATCATGCACACAATAATCATGGCAAAAATGACAAAAGTGCTAAACGGAGTAACAGATCTGACAATAAACTCAAGTAGCCCTCTTCTAACAGCATTTCGGGCATCAAGATGAGCCCAAATGAAAATGATGCAATAAAATGAAATGATGCACTCTCTGAGATGAACATTTTGATATGCTATATGCCCAAATTGAAGCTACGTATGCAAAGTTACGAAGCCTCGAACAGGGGCACTTGGACTAAAATTCTGAGGACTTGGTGAAAAAAAACTACCCAGATCTGAATCTAGGGTTTCGGATCACTGTAGCAACCGGGTCGGGGCGCGCCTCCCGAGGCGACTCCGGCGAAGACGAGGACGGCGGCCGGCGGGGGCGACGTCCGGTGGCTGCGGCGGCGGCGCCTGGGGCCGCG